CCTTTCACTTCTCCTCTCTCCAAAAATCAATAAAGGGGAAAAAAAGTACAAGTAGAAGTTATATTATAACTAATTTTAGGTCTATGCTACACTGGGGTAGAGATATTCATATTTGCTCCTAAAAGGTCAGTCTGCTCTCTTACCACACTCAAATCTTAGAAACAGTTAATTTTTAGCAAGAAACTTTGCTATATCTACTGCAGAAATTTTGTTACAATAAATGATACCCACAACAAAAATATTTCCAAGCTAAACTCCATGTGTTTCAAGTGATACTTATTCAGATCCAAATCTGAGTTACAAAATAATCTGAGCCATCCTTTGAAGTCCACTGCAATGGGCTGTACCTTGTATTATTCTCTGTGGATGGTGCCAGCTTCCCTGCGAGGGGAGAGAACATAAGAATTACTAGGAAGATTTTTAAAAGTTCAAGCCATGGAGTAAATAATTCCTACCTGGGCTCCACTAATCATCACTCTCTGACTGTGCACAAACTGCTTAACCTTCCTGAAATTTAGTTTCCTTACCTGAGAAATGGGCATAAATAGTGGGAAGTAGTGAGGATTCGTGAAAAAAGTATGCTGAATGCTTATCCTAGTGTCTGATACTTACATGCTCAATGTTGGTCTCCCTGCCACTAGTTTTAGTCTAATATTATGGTCATCCTTGCTTTTTCCTCCTTCCTACATTGTGGGTGACTCAAGGCCAAAAACTGTATCTACTTCCTCTTTACACCCCTCTAACACTTAAGCACCTACAGAAGCTTTTCCATATACTTTTGATGAATGGACTCTGCACTTGACTCCAGAAAATCTGGAAGGTGAAGGTGTACAGACAGACTAGCACCTGGACTGACCTCCACCCCTCAATTTTATTTTATTTAAAAAAGTTTTTTTATGGATTGATTTTTGAGAAAGAGAAACATCCATTTGTTGTTTCACTTATTTATGTATTCAGTGGTTGCTTCTGTATGTGCCCTGACCAGAGATCAAACCCTCAACCTTAGCTTATGGGGATGAAGTTCTAACCAACTGAGCTACCCAGCCAGGGTTATACCTCAATTTTATGGCCCCTGTAGTAATTGCATCCTAATCCTATACATGTATTGATTCATGTACTTTAGTTCAAGCTGGAAAGGACTTTCTACAAGATGTAATCCAATACTCTCGTTTCTCAGACCATGAAACAGGCCCAGTGAGGATACATAAGTCTTTCATATACAAACAACTGAAACAGTCTATTGTCCTGCTGGCTCTAGGAAGATTATATAGTTTTGCTTTAGGTCTGGCTTCTTCAAATAGTTCCTCTAGATCACAGTTTCTAGATCTCAGCACCACTGACATTTGGGACTGGAAAACTGTTTCGAAGTACTGTCCTGTGCACTGCAGGATATTCAGTGGCGTTTCTGGACTCTACCCACTAGATGCCAATCATATGCCTTCTACCCCATTAGTCACAAACATCAAAAAACGTCCCCAGACACTGCCAAATGTCCCAGTGAGACATTACAGTAGGTAAAATCCCTTCATATGAAATGCTGAAACCCTCAGGTTATCCCATCAAAATGTGATTATTTTGATGAATAGTTTGCTAGCAAATCTCATTTGTAGTCAACGAGCTCTGGAGAAAAGGCAGAGCCACTCTACAATGAGCACCGGGTTTCAATCAGGACTCAGGCCCACTCATTGTGTATCATTTATTTATCATCTCTGTCTACTTCCAGGGCCTTGGAAGTAGAACATGACTCATTCCTTTCTCAGAACAACTGACCATATTTTTTTGTGTTACTCATGAATCTGGGCTATATGGAGGGGTGTCCTCCTCATCAGAGCCCTTCCCACATTATCTTCTTTTTATTTATTTTTTACCCTCACCTGAGGACATTTTTTCAGTTTTTGTTCAGATAGAGTGGGAGGGAGGGAGAGAGAGAGAGAGAGAGGGAGAGAGAAAGAGAGACAGAGAAACATCGATGTAAAAGTGACACATCGAGTGGCTGCCACCTGCACGACCCAACCAGGGCCGGGGACAAACTGCAAATGAGGTACATGCCCTTAGTGGGAACCGAACCCGGGTCTCTCTGGACTGCAGGCCGATGCTCTAACCGCTGAACCAAACCAACCAGAGCTATTTACTTATTTTTATTAATTTATTTTTGTTACAGATGTTTCTCCTTTTTCTTTTCCTTTCTTTTTTTTTTAAATCCTCACTTGAGGACATTTTTCCATTTTTTGTTGAGATAGAGTGGGAGGGAGAGAGAGGAAGGGAGAGAGAGGGAAACATTCACGTGAAAGGGACACATCAAGTGGCTGCCTCCCCCACGATCCAACCAGGGCCAGGGACCGAACAACAACCAAGGTACATGCCCTTAGCCGAAACTGAACCCGGGACTCCCTGGTCCACGGGGCCAACGCTCTAACCTCTGAGCCAAACTGGCCAGGAGTCCTTTTTCCCCCATTGACACCCTCCCCACCGCCTCTGCTACATTATTTTCTGAGTGCCTGTTTTTGTCTGTATTTTGAGCCAAGAAATGTATGTGTTATCTCGCTAATGGCAAAGCAACCTTATGAGACAGTTATTATTAACGCCATTTGAAAGATGAGGAAACTGAAGCTCAGAGAGGGTCATGACTTAGGTAATTATATAGTAACAAGCCAGCTCTGACCGGTTTAGCTCAGCAGTTAGAGCGTCGTCCGGAGGACTAAAGTAGCAAGCCAGATTTGGACTTAGGCTCACCTAATTGCCAGTCCTAGTCCTCTTTGATAGGTTCTGAACCTCCCTTGTTTAATCAGAAACCTGTGGTTTGGCTCTTTTTGTGTATAGAATGAGCAGTTCATAAAAAGGGATCAGAAAAATGACTTTATCATTGTGTACAACTTTGATCTGTCCACCGTTGCCTCTTTGAGAGATCTACAGGGACGTGGAAATAATCTTGTTATACAAAATTGTGTCAGTCCATTCAGGCTGGTATAACAAAAAATACCACAGGCTAGCGTAAACAACACTCACTTCTCACACTTCTGGAGGCTAGCATGTCCAAGAGTCAATGTCTGGTTTGAGCTCACTTCTTGGTTCATAGATGCTGTCCTTGCATGACAGAAGGGACAAAGGAGCTCTCTGAGGTCTCTTGTAAGTATTCTCATCCCATTCATGAGGGCTCCATTCTCATGGCCTATGCACTTCCCAAAGGTCCTACCTGCAAATACCAACACACTGGGAGTTAGGTTTCGACATACAATTGTGAAGGAACACAAACATTCAGTTTGTAGCAAAAATCTTGTCTAGAATGGCACTACAGTGACAAGATTTCACATGGGGCCCAGCGTCAGAGAAACCATTTTAATCCTGAATCTGGGCAGTGGGTGTATACATAGGAAAAGGTACTGGGCAGGATAAAATTTAAGATCTTGTCATTGGCCCTGGCCAGGTAGCTTAGTTGGTTAGAGATATGCCAAAGTTGTGGGTCTGATCCCTGGTGAGGGCACATACAAGAATCAATCAATGAATACAGAATGCACACATAAGAGGAACAACAAACCTTTCTCTCCTCTCACTCTGCCTCCTCTTTCTCTAAAATTCAGTGTAAAAAACTTACCATTATGTGCCCTGGCCTGTTTAGCTCAGCGGTTAGAATGTCAGCCTGGGGACCAAAGAGTCACGGATTCTATTCCGGTCAAGGGCACGTAATCGGTCCCTGGCTCTGGACAGGGTCCTGTGGGAGGCAACCAGTCAATGCGACCCTCTCACACTGATGTTTCTCTCTCACCCTCCCACTCTATCTGAAGATAAATGAAAAAATATCCTCGGGTTAGGGTTTAAAAACAAAATGAAAATTTACCATTATGTAAATTCACTTTCCCTTGGTTTTTTTTTTTTTTTGACACTAACATTTATTTTATTTTTCCATCAATTTTGCTTTGTGAAATAGTTGCTGACCCATAACTCTGCTTATTTGAAATGCACCCCATCATTCAGTGTTTACCATTTGCTCCCTCAGATTGTCAGCTTTTCAAAAGCATGTGGTATAAGAATTGTTAGCTTTATCTTATCTACTGTCTTCTCAAAGGAATTGCCCGAGGGCAAGGACTCTTGCTTTTCCTTGCCACCTTTGCTAGGTGCTCAATCACTAGTCAACAATAACAGTGATGACAGGAAAATGTGTGCTTTCCAGTCAGCAGGTGAACAAGTCTGAGCCCCAGCGCGCTCAGCCCCACTCCCCGGTTGTGGGGTACCCCAAGCGAGGGCAGTCAAGGACCTTTTCCTTAAGGAGCCTGCAGCCTTCTCTCTTCCTTCCTCTTCCTTCCTCTTCCTTCCCCAGGCAGTGGCAGGTAAGAACCGAGGAAAAGCTACTCTCCCCGTCTAAGGATGTTTGCTGAGCCCAGCCGCTGTGCTCAGTGGGTTGAATGTCCTCTCATGGGCTGAGAGGTCCTGGTTCCATTCCGGGCAAGGGCACAAGCCCGGGTTGCGGGCTCGACCCCCAGTGGGGGGCGCGCAGGAGGCAGCCGATTGAGGTATCGGTGTTTGAGGTTTCTCTCTCTCTCCCCCTTCCCCTCTCTTTCTAAAAAAAAGGATGTCTGTTGAATAGGCGAAGAAGGCATAGGCGAAGGTAGGTGGCTGGTCCCCGCTTGTCTTGCCTGGCGAGGGAGGCCCGAGGCTGGCCGGTCCGAGGCTCTCCGAAGTAGCATGCTGACAGGCAGAGGGACCGGCACAAACCACGAAGAAAAGCCTAGTCTCTGAAGACACCCTGAGCCCCTTTCCCCCTCTGGTTTTCCTCAGAAGGGACCGGGAGAACCTGGAAGGTCCAGGTCCAGAAGGCGGGGAAGGGCCGGGGTCTCCTCGTTGGTTCCTGGATAGTCGAGACCAGCCGTTCTTGGCAGCCGAGAGGAGGGGCAGCGAGGAGCTCAGTGCCGGGGAGGACTCCGGACCTCACCCCCACCCCGAGCTGCCCCGCCCCGGCACTCGAGCCCCGCCCCCGGCACGCAGGCCCCGCCCCGGAGGCCCTGCTCCCTCGGGGGATGCAGCTAGGCTGTGCTCACTCCCCAGCCGGGGCCGGGGAGCCTCCAGGCTGAGAGGCTCCAGCCCGCCCCGAACCGTGACCTCCGCATGGAGGGGCCGCTCCTTCTGCCAGCCGGGTTGGGGCCGCTCCCGCCGCCGCTGCAGGGAGGCGGAGCCGCCTCTGTTCCGGAGCCTGGAACCCGGCAACACCCGGGACACGAGACGGCGGCGCAGCGGTACAGCGCTCGCCTGCTGCAGGCCGGCTGCGAGCCGGAGAGGTGACGCCCAAGGCAGAGCGCGCGGGGCGCACCCGGGGCGGGAGCGGCGGCCCGGGGAACCTGGGGGCGCTGCGGGGGAGGGGAGGGGCAGACCCCCAAACCCTTGCTTGCCCTCTTACCGCCTTAACCTCTAACTTCCCGAAATCGGGGTCAGACCCCGCGCACCCAGCTTTGGTTGGGGCATGCAGGCGGCCACTGTACAAAAGGGTTCGGGGCTGCGTTGCACCCGGGAGCGAATTGGAAAAACGCTCCCTGAAATCTTAGCCCTGGATCAGATCTTGACTATACAGCTAACGACACCTGGCCCGAGTGGCTTCAACTACAGGGGTTCAGACAGTGCTTGTTGGAGTTTCTGCTCAAGTTTGCTTACTCCTCAGCTGTTTCCTCCTAGATCTATCTTCAGAGTCCTCTTACTGGCAGGTGTAGGTGTCCAGATGGATGGCCTTCTCAGAGCCATGTGAGGACAGTGTCCTCTCCTCACTGAGGCTGCCAGTGAAGCTCACTTCAGGGTCTCTCCTAGGATTCAGGACCCACTCCTACCCTTAGTCTGCTGGGGTCTGTAAGGGTCATTGAAGGAAGAGTGGGGGCGTTGAGCTGGGTCCCCAGGGGAATGGCTGAAAAGGAGACAGTAGCTAATCTCTGGATTGTATCACAGCTTGAAATGCAATCCCACTGTCCTTCCGGTCCAGAGGATTTGGACTTCTTTCTCTGCCCCATCTGTTGGTGCTCAGCAGCTTGGGGAGGTGACCTGGAAGCTGGGTTTGGGTGGCGGTTGGGGGGGGGGGGCGTTCTGAGGGAATTAGCCCTGCAGCCCTGCCAGGGGCTGGCTGATTATGTAAGAACTTTTAACAGCTTAAGGAGTGCTGGGTGAAGCCCTGCCTGCCCCTGTAGGCTGTCTCACTAGGATTGATTCAGGTTTGGGCAACTCCCACCTTCCTCCCACCCTAGAAATCCAGCTACTGGGGCTCAGGATGGTAGGGAGAGGCCACAGGATTTGGGGGAGTGGGCTGGAGCACTTGGGGTTTGATGGAGGCAGTGCCTTGGCTAGAACAGGTATTGCAAAAGTGTCATATCAGAACTCAGACTAGGCCCACATAGGAGCATCCCTTCTCTGCACCTAGTGGCCATCCCCAGCCCTCACCAAGCTCCAAAGAACCTGTATAAAACCTGAGCCCCAGGCAGGTGGTGTAATGAGATTCAAAACCTGCTGGCTAGACCTCCATCTGCTGTCACTGGCTTAGCGCTATGGGTAGAGGACAAGGTTCCATGAGAAGTTCTGGGTTTGAGGTCAAAGTTATGTTTTCTGGCTTGTACTTGGGCAAGTCATGTCCACTGTCCCAGCTTAACAACACCAATGTTGTTACAGCACCCCCCTCCCCAGCCACCTCACAACTCCCCTAAAAATGTTTTGAAGTCTTGTCCATTCAAACAGCCCAGACCAGATAAAGACCTCTGGGCTCCCTGCATGGACTTTGGTGTCCAGCTAGAACACCAGCCTCCCCCCCCCCCCCAACAGCCCTTTCTTGGGCTGAGGCGGCCCACTGTTGCCTGGGTGTCTCCTCCCCATGGAGGAAGCAGCTAGGAAAGATCAGGAAGAGGGAGGAGGAAGGGGGGAGTGGATTAACAGTCTCTGGAAAAGGACAGCCTAACCTAGAACTGCGTCATCCAGCAGCTTAGAGTAATAAGGAGCCCTGACTTTGATCAAAGCAGGAGGGAGTGTGGGGCAGCAGGAGAAGAGAAGTAGAGCTGCGAGGTCTGTTGTCATCAGGAAGGGGACTCTTCCTACAACTCAGCCTAGCAGCCTCCTCCCCCTGGTCCAAGTTCTAGGCTGGGGCACAGGTCACTAGAGATGGCAGAACCCAGCTGTTATCCTGGACTCCAGCCCTGGTGGAACCCTGAATGGTACCCTAGCCATTTCTGACCCATGCTATAGGGAATAGTGACCCAGAGCAGGTTCCCCAGAGACACAGAGAGATCACATGGTCAGCCTATGCTCTCTGCTGCAATGCCATTACCTGGGGTGCTATTACTCTGAATGCCACAGTGCTTTCTCTGGTTGGTCTCACTATTCTGCTTCCAGGTGATCAGTAAGAGTCCCAGTGCTGGTTCCCTCAGGATAACTCCCTCCCCTATATGGCACATGCCCTCTAGATGGGCTTTTAAGAGCGGAGAAATCAGAAGCGCTCCCCGGGCATCCATGGCAAGGTAGCCTCAGCAGAGAACCTCAGCAAGCCAGCTCTCTTCCTGCCAAAGCCAGAGGGCCTTCAGAGGCCCCCAGCAGGAGCCCTCCTTGGGGATCCCTGGTGGGGAGGGTCTGTGATTTTCCAGTACTCCACAGTAAGAGGAAAGAGGACACTGAAAATCTGTGAACTCCTCCAGCATTCCCAGCCTTACTGCCCTATCTCTGTGAGAAGCCTCCCCTCCCCTTTGCACACAGATGGAACAGTCTGTGTTTTCCTGGTAGGGTCCCCTGGGGGAGGTGGGGGGGCGTCACTGGGGGAGGCTGGGCATCCCAGGGAGCCTCCTCTGGGCCTGGCTGCCACCCCACAGCTGAGAGGTAAACAAACCCAGCCTCCCAGGGCTGGGGAGGAAGGGAGGGAGCATCACAGACAGCCACCTTCCCAGGGAGAGGACTGTATCCCTGCCCAGCCTTTCACCTCACCAAGAAGTGAGCCATGGAGACCACAGGAAGAGAAGGGAGGAACCAGGGAATTTGGGTGGGGGAATCTACTCTCTAGCTTTGGTCAGGGAGTAGCATTAGCAATCACCTAATAAGGAAGGGTCTTCCCCCTGCCTCCCCATCTCCTCCTATTTGAATCAATTTGCTACCTAATCTTTCTACCCCCAGGTAGGCATCTGGGTCTTTCTGAGCCCATAGGACCACCAAACTTCTGCTTTGGCTAATTCTCAAAACTTCTTTAGCCTTTGTCCTAATTTGTATGCATATTTACCTGCCTAAACCAGGCCTGTGATCCTCCCTCTTCTTCCCACCACACTATCCTCCCAAATGAAAACGAATTTATCTTTCTGATATGCATACCACTTTCTGAGCTGGGGACAGGGAAGTCAGACTGAAACTTTGGACAGGAGTCCCCGACCCCTTTGCTTTCTGGACTGTAGGTTTTGCATCTGTAAAGTGGGGGTACCTAATAATTGAATTGCCAATTAAATAGATTGTAGAGTGAATGTGATTATTAATAAAAATGCCTTGTAAACTGCTTCAAGGCCACCCAAAGGTCAGGGAGTGTCATAGTTAAGAATGCCCTCTAGGAATGATGTCGGGTTGGGGAAGGTGGGGCAGGCTACACTGCAGGGAGGGTGCTGCCTCAACCTCTTGTGTGTTGGGTAGCTGTTGGCCCAGACAGTTTCTCAGGACTCCGGACTCAGGTCAGAGTCTGGGCCTTAGTCTTGGGAAGGACAAACCGTGTAAGAGGTACCCTTGGGGGTGGGGAGTAGGCCCAAGGGAGACTCGGGCCGGTGGAGGCCAGGTGGACTGGGGTGGCCCAGTTAGGGAGTGAGCCTGGGGACGCGCTGTAGGGGGCCTAGGAGGCGGGGCCGGAGGCGGGGGCGGGGGGCGTGCCTCGGTCTACCTCAGTCCCCCCCCTCACCGGACTCGCGCCCCCGGGACCACTGGGCCACTGTCGGAGGCCCAGGTCGTGTGTGCGCGCGCGCGCGCGCGGCAGCGACGGGGCCGGGCTCTGTGGGTCCCATTGTGCGGCGCTGGGCGGAGGCGGCGGGCTCCCGGGGGAGGGGCGGGAGGGGAGGGCGGCGCCCTGGGCCAGCCTCGCAGCTGCCGCAGCCCCCGCCCCCAGCCGGCCCGGCCCCCGGCACCGCGGCGGCAGCGTGGCCGCGGCGTCAGCAGCAGCAGCAGCAGCAGCAGCAGGAGCAGCAGGAGCAGCAGCAGCAGCAGCGGGACGGCCCGCGCTGGTGTTTATGTCGGGTCGCGGTGTCTCCCAGCAGCATGGCGGATTATCTGATCAGCGGCGGCACCGGCTACGTGCCCGAGGATGGGCTCACTGCGCAGCAGCTCTTCGCCAACGCCGACGGTCTCACCTACAAGTAAGCGTGGGGGCCTCTGCCCCACCTGAGTGCGCGTACCCACGCGCCGCGATCCCCCGACTCCGGCCCTGCACGTGCACCGCTCCCCCTTCGGTGACAGCCGCGTTTCCGGCCGGATAAGAGCGACTGGGGCGGAGGGGGGAGTGGGGAGGGCTGGGCAAAGGAAGGAAGGCGGCCCGTGCTGAGAGCAGACGGACGTGGCACAGCGACATCGCGGCCCTAGGTGCCATGCTCCGTTTCTCACAAGATCCAGGTCCAGCCTGGCCCCCCTCCCCCTCTCATGGGCATATTAGCTGCATGAAGGGGCCTTGAGATGTGTGGGAACGTGAGATGTGGGAGTTATGGAGACTTTTCCCAGACCTTGGTCCAGGACATCCTCTCACTCGCTCACAGCGTCACTGGGAAGGCAGAGGGGGCCTGGAGATCAGTTAAGGCAGCTGCTTGGATGTTGTCCCCAGGAGAGGCCCAGTTGGACAGTTGAGATGTCTTCTTTTTTACACCGTTCAATCCTCCTTCCATTTGTGCCCCTGCTGGCCCACAGGTTAGCACTAGTGCCCCCCTGGGAATGAGTATTCTGTGACTGCTACCCCCAAGGCCACCCTACTTGGGATTGTGGAGGAGATCAAGACCTTTCTATTTGCCTGTGGCTTAGTTTGCTTTTCCATGGGCCCTAGGCCAGTTGTCCTGCGGGCTGCAGGCCTGGCACTAGCTCTTCTTTTGGCTGCAGGGCTGTGTCCATGCCAGGAAGGAGCATCAGAACCTTGGGACTCGGGCAGAGTGGGGATGCTGGCCAGCTAAGAGCACCCCTGTCCTGTCTCCTGCCAGTCCCTGGCCTTGCCTGTAAGTGCTCTTGCTGGACAGGCAGTTTCCCTAGGCACCAAGTGTCTCCTCCTGCCTGCCCACAGCTGAAGTGTGGACCAGGTGAGGGAGGTATATAATACCTGGAAAATGCCAAGGGGCCCAGACTTTTGCATTTGTTCTCCAGCCTGTAAGTGAGCCACAGAGCCTCTTCGCTGTCCAGAGGCAGTTAAGGTTCTTTATTTCTTTGACAGTCTTTGATGAGGGAGGAGGGAGTATCTCTTTGATATATTTTTACTGAAGTCTGCCAAAGAAACTTCCTAGGGAAATTTCTAGGCGTGGCGCTTGGCCTCAGGGGCAGGTTAAAGATCCCACCCCTCCCATTCACCCTGTTGCTTTTCCTTCCTATACTAGGGTGCCTACTACTTTGCTTAGTCAGGTTGGGAGTTTTCCTGAAGCGTCGTGGATTGAGCCCATGGGGCCCCCAGGCTGTGGCACTGCACTTTGCCATACCTGTGTAGGCCTGCACTCCCTTTCTGGGGTTTGCTATGATCATGGCCCACTCTAGTATTAGCAGCGGCCATGCTTTGGCTGGGCCCTGGGGTTCTGGTCCTAACTGTAAGACTCTTTCCTCCCCTTTCCCATCTCAGGCCATGCCTGTTGGTTGCTCCAGTTCATCTGGGCAAACACGTACCAGTGCCTGCTCTGTGAGAACATGCCCTGCCTGCACTCAGCCCCCTGGGGTCTCTTGAGCTGTTCTGAAACCTATGTGACTGAGCAGCCCAGACACTCGGCTGTGTGCAGCCAGTCCGGTGCTGTGTGGTGTTCATATCATGCTGCACTTCTCAATTGTTCTCAGGTTCATTCCCTGTTGACTTATTGTCTCCCTCCATCAAGATTGAGTAGTTTTCAAGGGCCGGCAGTATATCTGCCTCATGTGGCATTATGGGAACTTCTATGTTCCTTGATGAATTCTGAGCCCTGGAGGCAATGGGCATTTTGGGCCAACTGCCTTGGTGGCACCCCAGGTCCATAGACCTTCCACTGCCTTTGTCTGTAGCTCTCTGAGCTGGAATCAGCAAGATGCTAGTGGAGGGCACAAGAGTGGTTCAGCCCTGAAGGGGCAGCAGGGACCACAGGACTCCAGTCTCTGTCCCTCTCCCTACTCCCAGGCTGCCTCCCCTGGCATGGCCAGGCCCTGCCCCTTTTAGGTACCTCTTTTCACCCAGTAACACTCACTTTTCTCTCTTCATAGCGATTTCCTGATTCTCCCAGGATTCATAGACTTCATAGCTGATGAGGTGGTGAGTACCTCTTCTGCTGATTTCTTGCTTGAGGGCAGGATGTAGGAGAGATTTTCCTTGGGAATGTGGTGGATGTAGCCCTTATTGCTTCCAGAGAAGCTGGCATAGTGCAGTGGGTTATACTTAATGGGGCAGAGGCAGCTGTGGGCATCAGGGGTATCCTGAGTGGTGGGCCTGGCCCAGAGCCAGAGGGCTCTCTGTCACTGGCAGAGCCTTCCATGAGGTTCAGAAGGGACGGGGGTAGGCATGCTTGTGGCTGTCTTATTACCATAGACCGGAAGGATCGGGTTTTGTCTGAAATGCTGAGCAAGGACATGATAGAAGCCAGTAAAATTATGGAGACTGAATTGCATGGACAGACTTGTTCATGGATCCAAATATACAAGAACTGGCAAGAGCCCTGGCCTGTTTGGCTCAGCGCTTAGAGCCTAGGCCTGAGGACCAGTGGGTCACAGGTTTGATTCCTGGTCAAGGGCACATACCTGGGTTGCAGGTCTAATCCCCAGCCCTGGTCAGGGTTGTGTGGGAGGCAACTAATTGATGTATCTCTCTCACATCGATGTTTCTCTTTCTCTTCCTCCCTCCCTTCCACTCTAAAATCAATGGAAAAATATCGTTGGGTGAGGATTAACAACAACAATAACAAAAACTGGCAAGGAGGTTTGAAGAAGTTAGATTTCTGACAAATATAAGGAAACATAGTGCCTTCTTGCCTGAGGGGTTCAGCTGTGAGCCAAGTGAATGAACAGTGTCTTAATGCAGTTAACATATGTTGATCCCACAGAATCCAGGGTGGGTAGTGCCGATGGTTATAAGTCATTTCACGGAAAAGTTAGAATATTTTATCATGAATTCATACACACGAAAAAAATTGTTTCTCTTGTCATTGTTATCATTGATATTTACTTTGGTCTGAGTCTCATGAAAGGCCAGAGGGCCCTGGCCGGTTTGGCTCAGCGGTTAGAGCGTCGGCCTGCAGTCCAGAGAGACCCGGGTTCGGTTCCCGCTAAGGGCACGTACCTAGGTTGCAGTTTGTCCCCGGCCCTGGTTGGTCGTGCAGGTGGCAGCCACTCGATGTGTCCCTTTCACATTGATGTTTCTCTCTCTCTCTCTGTTCCTCTCTCTCCCTCCCACTCTACCTGAACAAAAAAATGGGAAAATGTCCTCAGGTGAGGATAAAAAAAAAAAAAAGAAAGAAAGGCCAGAGGGCCTGAGACACTGGGACAGCATAGGTCCAGCCTGTGTAGCCAGTGCTGACACAAACAAATTTTTAAGGGGAAGTTTGTGCTATTCTGGATGTTTGCCTATGACAGCAACAAGGAAGCCTTCACAGCTCAGCTGTTCAGTTTAACAAAGTTTACTAAGCATCCTAGCTTTGTGCCAGACCCTGGGCAGGTGCTAGGAAGAGAAGGATAGAAAAGATCCCTCCCAGCCAGCGAGGGTCTCCTGTCCTGTGGCCTCTGTCAGGAAGGCTGTGGCTCTTTTGTGGTGTGATGGGAGAGGAGGAGGAGTTTTCTAGACCACGGGTCCAAGGTTCTGAACTGGGGTCTGTGGATGGACTTCAGGGGCCTATGAATCTCCAAAAATTATATGCCAAAGTCCGTCTGAGTGTTTTGGGGCCTAGGATCCTTAGCTGTTGGCCCTGAATCTCATGACCTACCCATATCCATACCGTTCATGCGCAGAAGCCTCCCGAATGTATACTTGCAGCCCTGACCTTTCCTTGAGCTGCGGTCCTTTAGTCACCTACCTTCCTGGATGCCTAAAGACTTCTTCCCATGCCTTCCCCCTCCCAGTCAGCAGCATCTCCTCATGGACCTGTCAGCAGTCTCCTTGGTGGTCCCCTGCCTCAGGTTTTGTCACCTAGAATCCATTCTCCACATTGGATCCTGAGTGACCTCTTTATTTTTTTCAAATACATTTTTATTTATTTTATTTTATTTATTATTTATTGTTTGTTAATTCTTATCCAAGGATATTTTTCCATAGATCTTTTGTTTGTTTGTTTTTTTATCCTCACCCGAAGACATTTTCCCATTTTTTTATTCAGATAGAGTGGAAGGGAGAGAGAGGAAGAGAGAGAGGGAGAAACATCGACGTGAAAGGGACACCTTGAGTGGCTGCCACCCACACGACCCAACCAGGGCTGGGGACAAACTGCAACCGAGGTACCTGCCCTTAGCGGGAACCGAACCCGGGTCTCTCTGGACCACAGGCCGACACTCTAACCTCTGAGCCAAATTGGCCAGGGCAATTTTTCCATAGATCTTTTTACAGAGAGTGGAAGGGAGGGAGGGAGACAGAGAGAGTGAGAGTAACATCAGTGTGAGACGCATGGATTGGTTGCCTCCTGCACAACCCTGACCAGAGCCTGGGGATCAACCCAGGTACTTGACCTTGACCAGAACGAACCCGAGACCCTTTGGTCCGAGGTCTGATGCTCTAACCACTGAGAAAACTGGCCAGGGTTATTTACATCGATTTTAATTCTTATTTATTTATTTATTTATTTATTTATTTATTTATTCCTCACCTGAGGATATTTTTCTACTTATTATCAAATAGAGTGGGAGGGAGGGAGAGACAGAGAGAAACAGTGATGTGATAGAGCCACATCGACTGGTTGTCTCCCACCCCAGCCCACCAGGGCTGAGGATGAACTGCACCTGAGGTGCGTGCCCTTGGCCAGAATGAAACCAAAGACTCATTGGTCCCCGGGCCAATGTTCTAACCACTGAGCGAAACCGGCCAGGGCTACATTGATTTTAGAGAGAGAGGAGCGGAGAGAGAGATAAAAATATTGGTGAGAGAGAAACATCAACATTGATAGGCTGCCTCCTGTATGCCCCCTGCTGGGGATAGAGCCTGCAACCTGGGTATGTGCCTTGACCAGGAATCAAACTGGTGACCTCTTGGTGCATGGGTGGATGCCCAACTACTGAGCCACACTGGTCAGGTCTGAGTGACTGCTTTAAAACTTCATCAGCCTTGGCTGGTTTGCTCAGTGGTTAGAGCGTCAGCCTGCAGACTGAATGGTCATTAGTTAAATTCTTGGTCAAGGGCATGTACCAAGGTTGTAGGTTTGATCCCCAGCCCCTGTTGGGGTCATGTGGGAGGCAACCAATCAATGTGTCCCTCACATCAATATTTCTCTCTCTTTCTTCTTCCCTTCCACTCTCTAAAAATCAACGGAAAAATATCCTTGAGTGAGGATTAACAAAAACAAATAAAATAAAATAAAATAAAATAATGAAATAAAATAAAATAAAATAAAATCATGTCTCTCCTCTGCCTGAGACCCTGGCAGTGGTTTCTCATCCCTCTGGCTTTGAAGGCTACACTTCCTTGCGCCCACCTGCCTCTCAAGCGATCACCCCATGGGCCCCTGCCTTTCTCACTTTCCTCAACTCCACTTGCCTTTTTCTTTCTCTTTTATTAAAAGAAAATATATTTTTTATTGATTTTAGAGAGAGAGAGATAGAAACATTGATGAGAGAGAATATTGACTGGCCGCCTCCTGCATGCCCCTCACTGGGGATCAGGTCCACAACTTGGGCGTGTGCTCTGACCGGGAATCAAACTGGCGACCTCTTGGTGCATGGTTTGATGCTCAACCACTGAGCCACCCCTGTCCAGGCCGCCTTTTTCTTTCTTAAATACACCTCAGGAAGGCTTGGAGTCAGAGGTTGGTTTCACAAACAGCTCTGTCTTCCTGGAACCATAGTCCCTCAGACTTTGGCTGCTACTTGTCATCCCCGAAGAATGAGGCATTTCTGACCACCACATCCCTCTTCCACTTTGCCTTCTTGCTTTTCTTTGGAGCCTTCATCCTGACTGAAATAATTTCACACGGCTATATTTCTAGGTGTCGGGTACATATAGGAGCTCGGTAAATGTTTGCTGAATGAATGGTAAACCTCTTCACATAGACTGTGCTTCCATCCTCAGGACCTGACTTCAGCTCTGACTCGGAAGATTACGCTGAAGACGCCGCTGATCTCCTCCCCAATGGACACTGTGACAGAAGCTGACATGGCCATCGCCATGGCTGTGAGTTGGGCACCTGGGTGGGGACCCCAGGGTCGAGGGGACTGAATAGGGTGGCTGGCATCAGGGGGAATTGGAATCAGAGCTGGGGTTTTCAGAGTGAGGAGGGGTGGGCCCCTATCTCTGACCATGCTTCCCTTCCACCCCAGCTAATGGGCGGTATTGGTTTCATTCACCACAACTGCACTCCAGAGTTCCAGGCCAATGAGGTGCGGAAGGTGAAGGCAAGTACCAGGCCCGTCCCCAGAAAGAAAATGCCACCTGGAGGCCCCCAACTCACAGACCTCCTCAGCTTCTCTTGCCCACTCCGCAGGCTGGTGCGTTCCCTTGCTGATGGCTGTGGGGGCTTGTCTGCCCTTCTCAATAGGGGCACAGGACCCAGCCCTCACTTCCCACTGGCCCTTCACTCCACTGAGGGCCCTGGCTCCTCTGGCATGACCAGGACAATCTCTGCCCCCTGTGACCAGGCTGTACAGCACCTCAGGCTTTCTTCCAGCCTTTTCCTTCTCCTGTCTCTGCCCACAGAAATTTGAACAGGGCTTTATCACGGACCCCGTGGTGCTGAGCCCCTCACACACCGTGGGTGACGTGCTAGAGGCCAAGATTCGACATGGCTTCTCTGGCATCCCCATCACTGAGACAGGCACCATGGGTAGCAAGCTGGTGGGCATCGTCACTTCCCGAGACATCGACTTTCTTGCAGAGAAGGACCACACCACCCTCCTCAGTGAGGTACCTGTAAGGCAGGGAAAGCGTGGCTGGGGCAGAGAGAGGGCCCCAAGGTGTCTGTGACCAGGGACCAGAGGGAGGTCTGGCTCCCTTCTCTCTCACCTGCCAACCTGCAGGCAAATGTTCCTGGTCCCACAGGTGATGACACCACGGAATGAGCTGGTGGTGGCTCCAGCAGGTGTGACATTGAAAGAGGCAAATGAGATCCTGCAGCGCAGCAAGAAAGGTACCAGGGTGTAGGCAGAAAACGCAAGACCTTTCTGCAGCCTGGCTTCTGGTACCTCAGTTCCCCCTGTTCCTTCCCAGCCTTGCAGGTTGTCCCAGCAACTAGCCTGGGCCTTGGGGAAGGTTTGAACAACCCCAGGCTGGGCATAATTCCTGAGATCCTTTTCTTGGCTTAGGAAAACCTGTCCCTTATTCAGCATTTCACAGTATGTTTCCCCAAAAAAACTAGTCCTCTGAAATGTTCATCAGGAAAAAAAGGGCTCTGTGGTCTTATATGTCTGAAAAATATTCTTTTCTATATTCCCCATCTGGCATAAAGAATTGTACATTAGCTTGTTAAAGGCTCTGAGAAGTCCTGAAGTTAATTTTATTTGACACTGGGGCTGTTGACATAATATTCATCAGGTCCCTGTGGGAGACTCTGGGACTTGTTTCCCTGGCCAGTACTGGTTTCTCTGGGGATAGTATTGTATGGGCACACGCTCCTCCCTGCAGGACAGCCTCACGTCTGTGCTCTGGCTAGGCGTTTTCGACCACTGTGGCCTGTGGCCCAGCAGGTGAAAGGCTGCCAGTGCTCAGGGGCTGCCCACCCCAGCCTGGCCAGGCCACAGGGCAGGATGAGCTCCAGGAACCCACTTGGCTGCAAGGTTTCTTTGCTTCCTGTTCCTGGGGAAGAGTTCCAGGTCCCTAGGAGTGCTTCCTGGGTGGGTGCTGTCACCTAGTGGCTGGTGTGGGAACTTAGTGGGATCTCCGGCATGGTCCACCCCACTGTCCAGCTCCCAGAGGCTGCTCCTTCGTCTCACCTCTGCATTCCTCCTCAGGAAAACTGCCCATTGTCAATGATCAGGATGAGCTAGTGGCCATCATTGCCCGCACCGACCTGAAGAAGAACCGGGACTACCCTCTAGCCTCCAAGGATTCCCACAAGCAACTGCTGTGCGGGGCGGCTGTGGGCACCCGCGAGGACGACAAATACCGCCTGGACCTGCTCACCCAGGCGGGCACCGATGTCATAGTGCTGGTACAGGCACCGCCCTGAAGCCGGAGTGGTTCAGTAGAGTAGAGGCTTAGGAAGATCCAGGTTCGCCTCTAATTAAGCCTGGAGTCAGAATTAGAAGGGTCAGTGGTACCCCGACAGCTAAGACCAACTGGGGGCCCCTCCGAGGGCCTTCTGGGCTGCTCATAAGTTGACCCTGATGGTTAGAGCTCACTTTCCTGGAGAACCTCCCACTTGCCAGGCCCTGCACTGAGACCTCCATCTCATTCAATCCTCCCAGTAACCCCCTGAGGTGTAAACCACGCCCTTTGTCAGATGAAGGAAGGGAGGCTGAAGAGGTTAAGTACTTTCATTTGGTTAGTGAATTGGTGGGAACAGGAGAGAGCCCGGGCAACCTTGCTGTGAGGACCGGTTGATCAGTGGGTGTGACAGGGCTTTGTCTGCTCTGAAAAGATACATGAATGGTCCTCACCTTGGGGGGAAAAGCAGGCTCTTTTGAAAATCAGCTGAGAGCTGTCAAGTGTCTTCCAAGAAAAAAAAAAAAGCATTCCCACATTTTTAAAAACAATTTCAGGAGTTTGTCCACTCAAGGGCCCCCTCCCTCAGGGAATATCCTCAGGCATCATAGCATCATGTCCTCTCCTCTCAGGATTCATCCCAAGGGAACTCTGAGTATCAGATCGCCATGGTGCACTATATCAAGAAGAAGTACCCCCACCTCCAGGTGATTGGGGGAAACGGTGAGTGTGGAGCTCCCCCTCGCCTCTGGCCCTTGCCCTCTCTCTGTGTAACTCCCCAACCTTCAGCATCCCAAGGCGGTAGCATCATCTCTCCGTGGGGGCCAGAGGGCTGAATGCATGGGCTTTGGTCACTGCAGGTGGGGTGGGTTAGACAGGGGTCCCAAAGAGCTCCAGGGCGGGGAGCATCTCATCCTCATACTGTCCTCTCCTTGCCACTGATCCCACCTCCCGTCCCAGTGGTGACAGCAGCTCAGGCCAAGAATCTGATTGATGCTGGTGTGGACGGACTGCGTGTGGGCATGGGCTGTGGCTCCATCTGCATCACCCAAGAAGGTGGGTGTAAGGAGAAGAGTGACTGCCACTTGGAACACCCCAATGGTCTTCCACAGGCCCCGGGCCTCGCTCTTGTCCCACGGATGCATGCTGAGTGCTTGCTCTCCAGCCTCCTTCCTGGCATGGTGGGTTCAGGGGTGAATCGGGTCAGACTGCCTGTCTGGTCTGCTGAGGTTATCGAGAGTTTTGGGTGTGTGCCAGTCGCTTCTCAAATTCTGGTCAAAAAGACCCAACCTAGAGGCCCAAGGCTGGTGTGACTCCTTCTCTGAAGTGCTTGTTAGAAGCTTGCACAGGGTTTGGATTAGCTTTGTGACAAGGCAGATACTTAAGACATGGAGATATCATGTCCTTGAATGTCTCAGGATATACACTTTATCACCATGTGGTGCTAGTGAGGGAGGGGGTTCCGCTCAGTCACAAAGCCCTTTTGTGGGGTAGATTCTTGAACTTGAAGAGGGGGAGCGTGCGACCCTGACCAGGTGTCCTGACTGATGGGTCCTTGCTTGGCCTGAGGGGAATCGGTCTGGCCCCTCTAGTGAGGGTCATTTCTCCAGAACACAAGTATCGGTTTGGGCTTCTCTGCTCGAAACATCTCCCTTTCGGGTCTTCAGAGCCTCTGCTTTTAAGTGTCTACCCTTCACCTTAGCTGACCACTGTGGTGAAACATGGGCCTCTGTTTAGTCACTTAACAAATACTAATTGAGTACCTGCTATGTGTCGGCACTGTTCTGAACCTGGGGATGCAATAGGGACAAGACAAGAGACCTTTCTGAGAGCCCTCTTCCCTACTTTATCCGGCCTTGCCTCCATCCCTACATAAGTGCTGCTTCCTTGGTATCCTGTTAGGACCGTACACTTAAGGACTTTGGACAGTGAGACTTAAGCAAATGCAAGGCATTATCCCCAAGGAGGCCTGCGTAACAGGTTTTGCAAATGAAAGCCTTGAAGGGGAACTTGTATGTGAGGAGAAGTGAGGCTGAGGACCACCAGGCCTGAGTGTGCCAGTGTGGGGGTGCAATACTCTGAAGACCAGTACTGACCCCTCCCCAACCACAGTTCCCCATAGTGCTGTCGTGGGTGGGGTGGGGTGAGTCTGTGGAGTGACAATCACCCTAGTGTTATTTGCTGCCACCTATCTTGTCCCTCAGAAACATCATCCAGCCCTGTCTCTCTGTTGTCATTGACATCTCTGTCTTATGTCCCCTTCCGCAGTGATGGCCTGTGGTCGGCCTCAGGGCACTGCCGTGTATAAGGTGGCTGAGTATGCCCGGCGCTTTGGGGTGCCAGTCATAGCTGATGGTGGCATCCAGACCGTGGGGCACGTGGTCAAGGCCCTAGCCCTTGGAGCATCCACAGGTAAGGGGTTCTGCTGGGGATTGGGCAGGCCAGTGTGGGGCTGGGAGCTGGGCGGGGGCAGCAGGAGGGCTGTGGGCTAGAGCCACTGACCCGGCGCCTGCCCCCATCGCAGTGATGATGGGCTCCCTGCTGGCTGCCACCACGGAGGCCCCTGGCGAGTACTTCTTCTCGGATGGAGTGAGGCTCAAGAAGTACCGGGGCATGGGCTCCTTGGATGCCATGGAGAAGAGCAGCAGCAGCCAGAAACGATACTTCAGGTACCCTGTCCCTGGTCCCGGGCCCCAGGCAGATCAGCTCACAACCCGTCAAGGGTCCACACATGCTTTTGATTTCCTAAGGTGGTGCTGAATCTCCACATTATATTTCTGGAAACTGAGTCACTGGGCACAAGTAACAGACCTGGGACAATACCTGGGCCTCCTGACTCAGAATCCATGCTTTTTTTATGCTTTAGCCCAGGGAGTGGCTGCTTTGGGGGTTCTTCTGGGTGGTATCCCCTCTGTTGGTGCCCTTGAGAGGTGGGATGGGGTCCCCTGAGCCATGGGCTGCCTGGCTCAGTCTCTCTGCCCTCCACACAGTGAGGGGGATAAGGTGAAGATTGCACAGGGCGTATCAGGGTCCATCCAGGACAAAGGCTCCATTCAGAAGTTTGTGCCCTACCTCATAGCGGGGATCCAGCATGGCTGCCAGGATATCGGTGCCCGGAGCCTGTCTGTCCTACGGTGAGTGCTGTGACTGGGGAGGGGGCAGGTAGGGAGCACCTGGAAGGATCCTTTTTATTCATTCATTCATTCATTCATTCATTCATTCATTCATTTTGAGAGAGAGAGAAAGGGAGAGGGAAAGAGAGAAACATCGATGAGAGAACATTGATTGGCTGCCTCCTGCATGCCCCGCCCTGGGGGTTTGGCCCACAACTTGGGCATGTGCCCTGACTGGGAATTGAACCTGCGACCTCTTGGTGCATGGGTCAACACTCAGCCCCTGAGCCACACCGGCCGGGCACCTGGGAGGATCTTGACTCCCCTATCCCCACTTCCTTTCTCTCTCTCTCACCCCTCTGTGCCCTTGGTGCCCTGGCCTGCACCATCGACCGCCTGCAGGTCCATGATGTACTCAGGAGAGCTCAAGTTTGAGAAGAGGACCATGTCAGCTCAGATCGAGGGTGGCGTCCATGGCCTGCATTCGTAAGTCTGGTGGCTTCCTTGCCCCAGCTGGCTGGCACTGGGTCGGGCGGGTAGGGCCATGGTTCAGAGGCTGAGCTGAGGTTTCAGGGACCCTATGGACAGTCTGTACCAGGGATGGATGCTGCTGCAGGAGGTCCCCATCACCCTCTTCTACATGGCCCACCCCACCCTTGAACCCTGTCCCTTAGCTCCTAGGCAGGCAGGCCCCTCTGCTCTCCTTGGGCATCTCCTCTGAGTGGGCATGAGAGATTTAGCCAATAGTCCCTCCTAGGCTCCTGCCCCTTGCTTCTGTAGAAGCTTGGTGGCTGGTGGCAGGAGCTGGCAGTGTTGGGCTCGTGCTGGTGGTGGCCGCAGGCAGGCAGGTATAGGCTGGGGGCAAGAGTCCCCTGGCGGGGAAAAGGGCACAGAGAGACCGGTGCCAGGGCCAGCGCTGGGGAGACCATGGGTGGGGGTAGTGCTAGTCGGCAGCAGTGGTAGCAGGCATGTGGCCCCACCTCGAGAGGACCTGTCCCCCAGCCATCGGCGGCATCTAACCTGTGTCTCTTTCTGCCCCATCCTCCGTAGCTATACCTTTCTGCCGTGTAAGTAACTGCGCTGCCCGGGCCAAGCGTAGAGTAGAGCAGGGGCACTTTGGGTGGGATCCGGGCTGGGGTGGGGGGAGGGATACTGCACTGGGGCTGGCGCTGGGTGTAATCATGGGACATAGACCTTAGGACTAGCGCCGTGGTAGGGGCAGCCAGTAGTGGCCCTTCCTCCAGCTGAAACATCCCTTCTGGAGTACAGGGACATGTCCTTGACCCTAGGCCTGAGGCTGCCCTGTCTTGGACTGACCTAGTGGCCACAGCGGCTAGGCCATGGTATGTGCCCGGGTGGAGTGGAGACTTGGGCAGCAGAGGTGCAGCCTGGTCTGAGCTTGCTCTGCTAGGATGGGCCACGCCTTCCCGAGCTCTCTCCACCCAGCACTGAGGACAGTCCGCTCGGCCATGGCTGTGGCCTGGAGGAGCGTGGCTGTCTCGGACCTCAGAGGACAGTCACAGGGCCTGCTCTTTCCCCCCTTCCTTCCCTCCATGGCTGAGAGGCAGGGACTTCTGCAGTTCACTGCCTCTCCTTCATCTGGGGACCGCCTGGCACCCCCAGGCCTGGGCAGGGGGATCTGGCAAGGGAGCAGCGTCCATCCACCCACTTTCAGTTTCCCTCTTGCCTTGTCCCCACAGTTACGAGAAGCGGCTATACTGAGGACGGTGGTGGAGGTGGTGGTGGAGGCCGAGGTGGCAGAGGGGGTACGCCCCAGGGTCCCCCTGTAGGAACAGCCTCCCTCCATAACTGAGCAGTCCACAGATTTGCACTATGGGTTCCCCAGCTCCTTTCAAGGGAGAAAAGAGGGGAGGCCCTGAGGGTCTGGGGCCCCTTGCTGGGCATCCCCCGCAGAGTCAGGACTGCTCCTGGGGCCTGGCTGCCCTGGGAGCCCCCACCCTGGGTTCCCCCTTCTTCAGCCCCTCTGAGCCCACCAGCCTGGGCTCTCAGGCCCTGCGCCTGCCTCAGGTCTTTTTTGCTGCAGCCTGCTCCGGCCTGGCTCCCTCCTCTGGGGCAGTGGCCCCTCCTAGCTTCTCCTGTAGGGTACTCTTCCCGCCCCCGCCCCCCGAAATGGTGCTCTCCTGGCCCTGCCTCTGGCTCCTTCCTGGGCTGCTGCCCCGTCAGCCATGGGGCACTTCTGGGCTCCTGACCTAGGCCAGAGGGAGGTCTCTGCCCCCTTCCCCTGGCCCTAGGCTACCTGTTCCTCAGGCCTCCCCCTGTTCCCTGCCCTGGGGAGGAAGCAGCCCATCATTCTTGACCCACCACCATCCCCAGGTGTACCATGCCCGCCCTCTCCTCCCAGCTACAGTTGAAGACTTTACCTTTGCACATTTTGAGTCATAGTTATGTCATTGTATATTAAAAAATCTGAATAAATCATGAGATTGCAATGCCTTTGCCATCCTGTCTTTGTCCCTTGTCCAGTGGGCAGCCGGCCCCCATTCTGCTGGTGAGCTGGAGCCCAGAGCCCCATCAGAGCCAGGCTGCGTGGGGGGCAGGCCCAGCTCCCCAGGAAGGTGCTGAGGGCATTGTGGTACTCTAGGGGGTGCTGGTCCAGGTACGCCACATGGCGAGAGGTCTCCCAGGCCTGCTGCCAGACGGCCAGCAGCTCCTGCGGGCAGGCAGTATTGCAGTGGCTATAGAAGACTGGCACTGGGGGCCTCATCGGCTGCCAGAAAGTACCCATCGCAACCTTGTAATGCTGAATGGTGCAGCCCGGCACAGGTGGAATTAGAGTAGGCTGTGGCCCTGACCACCAGGCCTAGGGCCTTGGTCTCATCAGCTGAGACACACCTGTGCATACCAGGTAGCAGGGGTTAACTCCCATCGTCCATATGCAGCTCAGGACCCACCTCCCAGCCTCAAACCCCTTCTGGTGGGATAGCCTTGACACATGGGCTGCTGAATATCCCGAGCTGGGGGTCCTGACTCTTGTAGTTGGGTAGTGGTTACACAACTGTCCTGCCGAAGTACAGACACCACTCGGGGCAGAAGCAAAGAAGATGGGTTACTCTGGTGTTGGGAATGAGCAGAGGGTGCAGAAGGCCCTTGTTCACAGTGAGCTGGAAACACCCACATGGCTACAGGGAGGGGTTGCCTGAGTAGCCATGCCAGCACCTGCCCTCTCCCAGGCCCTTCCTGAAAGGGCCACTCGGCCTGGGGCCAGCCCTCCACTGGGGCATTTCCCAGCTTTGTGGCATTGTCAGGGATGAGAAGGAAAGAGCTGATGGTGGCAGGGCTGCTGGGCAGGTTCAGAGCTGGTTCAAGAACTGTTCCAGGAGTTGTTGCAAAGTGACTGGGTCACGGAGTCCTCGGAGGCCTTGTGCCCTGGAGTCTGTGCCTCCGTGAGCTCCTAGAGTCCAGCATGACCCAGCTGGCCGGCAGAAGTGTGCCTGGAGACCAGGGGGTGGTAAAAGGTGAGGGGATGGGCCCAAACGAGGTCATGTTTCATGGTTTGTTTGGGGCATTGGTTTACCAAAACCATATGGGAAGCAGCTTGACCAACAGCTGAGATGGAGAAGATCTAAGGGTTTTTTTGAGAAACCCTTATGGTTTTCTGCATCAAGGATGTGATTCAAAGGGAGAATTTTCCTTTTAAACTAGATCTAATAGGCCAATTAGAGCCAACCAATAGGGTGGTTTACCTGGTAACGATGAATCGGTAACTTGAGTATGTTAGCATTCCTTTGGCCCTTCCAGAGGCAGTGTAAACATAGTGGTCCCCAAACAAACCCAGAGGCCCAGGATGGGGTCGGGGCCTCTGAACTGTCACTCAGCCTCAGGTGACTCTGATACATACCAAAATTTGAGAATTCTTCTCTTGGAGGAAATTCGTGCCTCTGGTCATACGAGTTCTGAGACTCTTCCCAAAGCATGTGTCCTGAGAAAAGAATGTCAGATAATACAGCACCCACCTCGTGGCCCATTGTGGGGGTATGGGAGAGAATTTATAAAGGTTCTAGGTGCTCGGTCTCATGTCCTGTTTGGCCTCCCCTTTCCCAGAGAATGGAAGCTGGAGATGAATGCATGCCAGGCTGAACCCAGACAACATGCTCATCCTGGGTTGTAAGTTCAGCCGCAGTTGGGGAGGCCCAGGTGGGACAAGGGGTAGGAAAGCCACATCAGGTGGACGTTCAGAGGCGGTCCACAGCCACATTTGGGACAGAGGCAGATCGCAGACCCCATGGTGAGCAGAACGTGTCCACCTGGAGTTGAGCCTGGTTTGTGCAGCCCAGGTGCCTTCTTACCCTCATCTGGCACACTCACCCAGCACCGCCCAGTCTACACCCAGGTCCTGGCTCATGAAAAGTGTAGCCACCCGGGGAGAGGGCCTGCAGCAGCTAGCCAGTGCCCCCTGCCGGCCGCAGCAACTCCAGAACCTGTCAGCCTGCCCCAGGAAGTGGCTCAGCCTGTTCGTTCTCCACGCCAGCACGTCAAAGTCGCAGGCCTGGCAGAGCTACGGGTACTTGGCTTGCAGGAGCAGGAGGAGCAGCGTGGAGCCCAGAGGGCCGAGGGAGGCCGGGCTCGCAGTGCAGGTGGATGGAGGGAGAGGGCCGTGGCTGTTGCACTCTGGAGGACAGATGTAGGAAGATCAGTGGGTGGCCCTTAGCTCCAGCCCCCACCTTTCTTTCATATCCTCAGGCTGAGAACAGGGCTCTCGGGTAGTCTGGCTAGGTAGACCAGGAGGGCTGCACTAGCCCTTGCAGGACCCTTTCAGCTTCTCCCTCCACCCTTACCCTGAGCTTTTTGTTCCTTCAGGATCTCTTCTGACTTATAAGGGCCAGAGCCCCAACCTCAGCCTCTCTGGGTCCTCTCCTGCTTTACACAGGGCTCCCCTATTAGGGGGTTGGGGGACCAATACTCTCCACCCCACTCCAACCCCAGCAGCACTTCTGCCTTCGGCTGAGGAGACTTTGGAGGCAGGCCACGTGGTCAGAGGGTACATGCTTTGTCAGGGTCAAAGCACGTAGCCCTCTGTAACTTCTCTCAGGCCCCAGCCCCACAACCCTGCTCCCCACCCTCACTGTCCTTGGGACAAGGCCCTTGAGTGCAGGGTGCTGGAGTCACCTCCACCAGGATCCTCCTCAGCTCAGGAGAGAGGATAGGTGGGGTCAGGCACCCAGGAGACTTTGGTCCCCAGTTTCCTGCTCTATCCCCTTTAAGCCCATTGACCACAACAGCCTCTGGGTATCTGGCTCCCAAGTAGCTATGCCCCACTCCAGCCCAGCTAGAGTCCGGAGAGGGCATGTCACTGACAAGGTACAGAGCAGTGATAGCCTGGGACAGGTAAGAGTCCAGCCTTTCCCTCTCCAAGTGCCTCAGTTTCTCTACCTGTGACCCTAAAAGAGGAAAGATGAGCAACCCCCCACAGCACTGCCCCAGGCATCCCAACAGCTTCCTGTCTTTTTAAAATTTGATTTTTAGAGAGGGAAGGGGGGGGGAGGGAGAGAGAGAGAGAGAGAGAGAGAGAGAGAGGGAGAGATTGTTCCACCTATTCATCCATTCATGCACTCATTGGTTGCTTGCTTCCCCCACGTGCCCTGACTGGATGGAGCCTGAAACCTTGATGTATCAGGAGACCGCTCTGAGCAACTGAGCTATCCCGCCAGGGACAGCTTCCTGTCTTTGACCCGCACATTCTGCACATCAGCTGCTCCACTTCACCTTTCGCCTCTCAGGGCAAGCTGAGCTCTGGGTGCCTCAGCCAGCAATCCCACAGATGATCTGACAAGCTGTCAAGTGGGTGGGAAGGTTCTCCCTAGAAAAGAAAAGGGAAACCAGGACTAGGGACTCCGCGGGGCAGAGCAGCTGGGAGGGAGGAGGGAGCCAGGAGGGGATGCGGTGTAAGGACCACCCCCAACTTTAACCTCTTCCTCCCCACTGCTCCTCCCTGTGGAAAGCTCGCTAGTGGGGAACAAAATGAGTGTCTGCACTGCGGACTTCGAGCTTCGGGAAATCAGGGGGAAGGGACTTCCAACCCCACACTACCGTGAGTCCTGCTCCTCTGTCCCTGGTCCTTCTATGGGGAAGGGCGTTGCTCCCACCCCCTCCCCGTGGTCCGTGGTGCTTCCAATTCCTTTCCGTACCTCTGGACTCTGGGAAAATCTGGGGACAAAAAGGAGGAAGGATCTTTTGTGATGGAGATGTGGGGAGAACAGGGGCGGGGGCAGAGGGTGTTCCCTGCTCTGGGGCACTGGACTTCTAGGTCTGGGTCCTTTAGGAGCAGTGTGACATGAATCCAGCAGGTGGCGCCAGGACCCATCGACCTGTGGGACCTCAGGGAATGGGTGTGGGGCAGTTTCCAAGGCAACAGACAGCCTTTCTGAAAGCCCTGCCCTTGGCAACCATTCCCTGGTTGCCCACTTCCATAGCAAAATATGGATTCTGAAGAACAGGGGAGGCATGGAGGTAAAATAATCTAATCTCTCAGAAAGGAGAGAGGCTGGCTGGGGGTAGGGACAGGAGTCTGAAAGGCCTGCTTTCTGCTGTGGTGTGTTCCTGAGCACCAGTCTCTCACTCAGGTGCGTGCAGCTGAGCCTCAGCAGCCCTGTGCGGCAGAAGCACATACTCCTTTATTAAGGGGGGGAAATATTCCTTTATTATGAATGGGAAGATGAGGCTCAGAGAGAAAGAGTGACTTCCCAGGTCACAGCTGGTAAGAGGTTGTCCCAGTGAGAAAGCTGGGCCTGCCTACACGTCCTCCCTTCTGTCCATTCCGCTGCCCTTCTGGTGGGTGCGAAGTGTCCAAGCCAAGGGGCAGAGGGCGAGGCCTGTTGGAAGACTGGGAGCTGCAGCCATGGATCAAAAGAGACAAAACCGAATCCTTCCCTTTCGGCCCAGCCCCCCCCTCCTTGGGGAGCCCCTCTGCCCCTGGTGCCCCTGACCTTGCGGTGGGGCTCCCCTCTGTCGCATGACCACTGAGTTGGAGGGGGGGGACTTGAGTTCTGGAGTTTATGTGAACCCTAGAGAAAGCAAGGACAGGAGAGCTCTCCAAGAAGGACAGGACGCTGGAGCCCTGTCTGGGAGAAGCAGGAAGGGATTCCGTTTCAGCAGTTGTGTGAGGAGAACGCCAGCTTCAACTGGGTCAAGGGACAGCTTTGGAGGATTCTAATTCAGTTCAAAGATCTAATCTACTCTCACTCCCTGTGATCACATCGCCTTGATTACTCCACATCCCCACCAGGATCTCATGCTCAGTGCAGCCAACCCTGTTCTTCTGACGCCCTCCATTCGCTTGCGTTCTCCAGAGAAGCAAAACCCACAGGAGATATATTATAAATGTGTGTGTGTATAATATGAATATATAGAGGCTGTTGCCGTCCTCATTTCCAGAGGAAAAAACAGGCTCAGAGATGCAAAGTGGTTTGCCCAAGGTTG